TATTATCAATTAATAGGTGGACAGGGAAAATAATTAGAAGCAGCTTCAGTATTAAAAATAAGACTAAATGTATGTGATGTCAAATGGAAACTCAAAGGCTAAAAATTCTAACCAATTTAATTATAAGTATGTTTTTTTTAAACAATGCTCCATGTAGTCTCAAAAAGTTTCCAGAAATCCATGACATGTTTTTTTAAAATCTATATTTGGAAGGAAAGAATCCCAATTATTTGTAATTTAAGGTCAATAAATTAAACAAATTTCCTTATTTCACTAATTTATATGTATGTACAAATATATATAGGAACAAATGGATGAATTGTATATATTTTTTGATTATTCATTAGTAATTATCAATTAATAGGTGGACAGGGGAAATAATTAGAAGCAGCTTCAGTATTAAAAATAAGACAGAATTTATGTGATGTCACCTGGAAACTCAAAGGCTAAAAATTGGAAACAAAGGCTCATATTTGAACTTTTAGAGGCTCTGAAAGGTACAATTATGTTCCCAATTAGAAAATGGACAAACTACAAGGGAACAACAGCAGAACCTTTAAGTGAACCAACACAGAGACGAGTCATCCTGTCTTTTTACCATCATTTTTCTGGTTTTGGGGTAAAATCCGGGTGTTAATGGGTGTAAATGTCGAGGAATGGCTGGTGTTGCTCACTCACAGAGGCGGGAACGAGCCGGTCATGCCGTTGCCCCTGGCAACCGAGTCATCAGAGGCACTTTCAGGCGGCGGTACTGGAAACCAGAGGAAACCGGAGGATCTCAAACCTGCAGATGTGTTTTTTTTTTGTTCCTTTTAATTAGAGGAAAGAGGCAAAAAAGGAGCAGAAAACGAAGAAAAACAAGATGGGACGGGAAGTCTGAGGTTTAGACGTTTTTACCTTGAAAATTAGGGAATCGAGGGGCAGATTTGCATAATACTGATCCAGCCAACACGAAATGAGTCGAATCCGGTTCATAATCAGGCGGTTTGTTTTAAATATCTCAATCCAATTTATCTGTGAGGCGCTTTTAAAACAGGCAGTCTGACCCGAGGACCTATTCATGGTCTGGAAACGGGCAGAACACCAGGTAAAATAGATAAAAGAGCAGGGATAACCTGAGCAATGGAAGCCGGGACAGAAAAGTGATGCTTTTAATACGAAAAATAAATCATGTGAGCATAGACGGAAAGAAAAAGAGTCAAATTCGAGATAAAAAGTCATCTAAAAAGTCTAAAATAGACCCATTTTTCATCAACCCAGACGTGGAAAATCAGTTTGAGAATGAGTTTTTAGATTTGAGGGGTTTAATTTAAAGCCTGATCCAAGAAAAATAGGAAGAATATTGGATTTTTTTAGTCTGAAGTCTTTTTTTGGCCCTTCAAACAACATATGAAGAAAAAAAAACAGAAATTATTTTGATCAAATTAACGTGCAATAAGTCAAAAATATATGTTGGTGTAGTCTTCTACTGGCTGTTATCAGGTATATCTGAATGTGTTCAACAGGGGTTTGAGCAAAGCTTTTACCACTGAATGATGCAAAAAGTCTCAGATCCAAAAGACTTCAGAAACCGTATGAATCAGATATGACACGTTTGGCATTATAGGGTTAAAAGGTGACATTTCTTTGGAAATTAAATCATCAGGACTCTCTGAACATCTCTCATTTTTAGTCGATCACTGAGAATCTTTCTGGTTTTTATCACTTTTAGGAAAGAGCTGAAGATGTGTAAATGAAGCCAGCAGCTCATTAAAAGCAAAAGCTTTATTCAGCAGGAAAGGATCTCAAAACTACCACAAACAAACGTGTTTTCAGTCGAACTTACTGTACTAAACTTAGTGCTCCGACATGGCAACAGCCATTGCTCACCAATGAACAATAAGCCCTTCAAAACCAGGAAACTTCACCTTAGTAACGAAGCAGAGGATTGTCTTTTTTTTGTCTTAACGAGGGTGTGAGAAAAAAGCGAGAGATGGTGGGAAAGAAACCGGTGCGATCCGGTCGGTCTCCGGCTCCTGCCGTTGCCCGAGGATACGGATGGAGCTGCAGCTGCCCGGTTTCCATGGCGACGCGGATGCAGGACGCAGAGAGGAGAGAGAGATGGAGGGAGGGAGGGCTGAAATTAAACGAGAGGCCCGGAGAGCTCTGGAGGGTTTTGGGAGGAGGAAGAAGGGGAGGAAATATGGGGAATATGGGGAAATATGTTTGATGGAGGTGGAGAGGAAGGAAGGAGGAGAGATGGGATTCAAGAAGGAGGTAAGAGCTCAGACATGGATCCCCAAGACTTCCCACTGGAGACCGACACCTTCAGGGGCACCTGGGAAACAGGCAAAGGAGTAAAAAAAGCGCTCATGATGCACAAAAAACGCTCATAAACAGCCACTAAACAGCCTGCGAGTGCTGGCTTTTACACAAGTAAACGACCATTAAACCGCTTAAGGGCCGGATGATTTAGTCCGCCCCGTTAATTGGACTCACTTTCAGGTGGACTCCCAGGTGGTCGATGTGCTGGAGGGACTCCATGGTGCTTCTCACCAGAGCTGGACACGAACAGCCCAGAAAGAAAAGGCCACAAATCAGGGGTTTGCTTAAGCTGAGACACACTTTTCCGCCATTAAAACACACTCAAGATGAGCTCAGTCAGTCTGAGAGTGTCAGATTAGTGTGACTTCAGCACCATTTCTTCATGTTTTATTTATTTATTTATTTTTTTGCTGTATATTTGGTGATTTTAAGCATTTTTTTGCTGCATATTTGGTGATTTTAAGGATTTTTTTTGCTGTATATTTGGTCATTTTAAGCTTTTTTTTTGCATTTTTTGCTGTATATTTGGTCATTTTAAGCCTTTTAAAGCCAGTCTGAGAGCATCACATTAGTGTGACTTCAGCCCCATTTCTTCATGTTTTATTATTTTATTTTTATTTTTGCCATTTTATTTCACCATTTTATTGGTGATTTTAAGTATTTTTTTGCTGTATATTTGCTCATTTTAACCTCTTTTTTCTTTGCATTTTTTTACTGTATATTTGGTCATTTTAAGCCTTTTTTTGCTGAATTTACTGTATATTTGGTGATTTTAAGCCTTTTAGAGCCAGTCTGAGAGCGTCACATTAGTGTGACTGCAGCCCTATTTCTTCATGTTTTTACGATCAGACTGGAGAAAATGAGCAGGTATAATTAAAGCCGCTGCTTTACAGACATAAATACAGCGTATTAAGCTGAGCTCCAGGCTTTTGGAAGGACGTCCCAGAGCTCTTCTCTGGATGCTGCTTCATGTTTTAACTCTGGAGGGTTTAGCTGCTGTTAAATTAAACAGGAAGACATTTTATTGGCTTATTCTTTGTAACTTTGGTCTTTTTGGGTCTTTTTAGCTCTTTTTTCATTTTTTATGCTGTATTTACTGTCAATTTAGCCTTTTTTTCTGTATATTTGGTAATTTTAAGCCTTTTTAGCTTTTTTTTTCTGTATATTTGGTAATTTTAAGCCTTTTTTGCATTTTTTTGCTGTATATTTTGTTATTTTAAGCCTTTTTTTAATGTATATATGGTCATTTTAAGCATTTTCTTTTTGCATTTTTTTGCAGTTCTTCTTTTTTACTCCACGTGTCCAGTTTCCTCAGATGTTTTAAGGACTCACTGCTCACCAGGCTGAGATCTGCCCAGTTTTCAACCAGCAGCTCTTTAGAAATCCTCAGAAATCCTGTTTCCTGTCGGTCAGACTGTGTTTTCTTTGGTGTTTTGGTAGATTTTCTAATTATTTGTGACAATTTGCTGGTGCAAAATGCCTAAATTACTGTTCAAAAATTGGGTTTCATGTGTAGATATAACACTGGTTCATCCCTTGAGTTGGCTTGTTTTTTGTATTAATGAATAAAAGGGTTCGTTTTAAAAGGTCTAACAAACAAATAAATGACCCAAAGTCCTCAGATCTGCTCAGATCTGAAGGTTAATAACAGTTAGCTTTAAAGTGAAACACAGAAATGAGTCCGCCCACAGTTTGTGTGTCTGATTTACCTGCAAACGGCTCCACCTGGGAGTCCTCCACCTCATAAAGGAGCTCGTCGTGGAGCTGTGCGAGCAGCCTACAGGTGCACAAACACCAGAGATGTATAAAGTACTGGAGTAGAAGTACAAGTACTATATGAAAAAAATTACTGGGGTAAAGTAGAAGTGTTCTTTCAACTCCATACTTAAGTGGAAGTATTAAAATTTTTTTTTACTTAAGTATTGCAAGTAGAAGTTTTTCAAAAAATTGCTACTCAAGTATCGAAAGTACAAGTATAAGTAAAAGTATAAATACTGTGTTTATTAAAAAAAGCAGTCAAAAGTGTGATAGATGTTGTTTATATTATTTCAAACGTGTGAAAGGCCATACAGGTGTTTACAAAAAACAGAAAACTACATCTGCATTAGCAATCAACAGCACTTCATCTACTATTATTTATTATTCCAGAGTCAGAATCCTGAGCTGAGCCTTTATGCTAGCATGTAGCATACAGCTAGCCAGCTAGGTTAGCTTTAGATAACGTTATCATACAGCTAGCCAGCTAGGTTAGCTTTAGCTAACGTTAGCTGCTACGTCCTGAGTGAACAGGGAGAACTGAACTAGTGCTTATTTACTAGCTTATATGTCATTGTATTTTTTAACTTACCTTGATATGCTTCTTCAGATTAGATGGGGAATTTTTAAAGGCCATGATTTCACAATATTTTGGGAGGCTTTTTTTAAATAGGCTATCGCCCAATGATGAGCCAGCTTTCCAAACCCTGACCCCTGAGCTAATTATCATTACATTTACATATCAGTAACGAGTAACGATTCAGCCCGTGAAAGTAAAAGTATTAAATTAATCAAAAATATGTAGTGGAGTAAAAGTAAAAGTAGGGAAAAAAATAAACACTCCAATAAAGTACAGATACTGTATTTTGGTACTTAAGTACAGTACTTAAGTAGTTCTCTATCTCTGAAAAACACAGACACACAAAAAGGCCGTCTGGCTCCGTTTAGGGGCCCCTGAAAACAGGCCGCCATTGCTCTGTTTTCACCACGGAGCCACTCTGTTTGCTTTTGCTTTTCCCTCCCAACATATGCGTCTGATTCTCAGATATTTTGGCTTCCAGCGTGTTTACAGCAGCTGAAGGTTTGGCAGCGGGAATTGTTTGGGGGTCGTCCTCATCACAACAAACCAACAAACCGAGCCGACTGCTACTCAGAGTCTGATAGAGATCAAGCCTTTTCTGGGAGGATTTGCTCAGAGGGAAAAGGACGAATTAAGAAAAATGCGTTTAACTCTAATTTAACAAATATGTTTAACCCTTTAAAGCCTGATCCAAGAATTAAACTAAACAGAAAATTACTTTTTTTTGGTTTGAAGTCTTTATTTGGCCTTTTAACAAAATATCTAAAAAGAAAAAACTAAAATGAAATTTCAATATTCATAATTTATTACTATGCGATAAGTCAAGATGATTTTTTGTGTAGTCTTCTGCCCCCTGTTATCAGGTGTATCTGATTGTGTACAATAGGATTTTGAGCAAAGTTTTTAGCATTAAATTATGCAAAAGTTGTCAGACGCAAAAATTTCAGAAACCGTGTGTATCAAATATGATACATTTGGCATTACAGGGTTAATTAGAGATCTAATTAGAGATCTATTTATTGTTATTTCTCCCTGAGCCTGTCTGTGAACCTAAAAGGTCAAATTGGTCCTGTTCGAAGTTTAATTGGAGATCTTTTGTGTCTTTTCTGTCTCATAGAAATAAATAAAAGAGCTTTCCTAATGAGCTTAATCTAAAAATGAAACATTCTGCACAAACACTATAACCTGCAACCTAATATGTTACTGACAGTTTGTAGATTTTAGCAGATTTTTATTTATTATCTGCTTAATGATGATGGAGAGCAATCAGTTCAAATTAATCTCTGCTCAATTCAGTATGTTTTTTAAAACAATGCTCCATGTAGTCTCCAAAAGTTTCCAGAAATCCATGACAGGGTTTTTTAAAATCTATATTTGGAAGGAAAGAATCCAAATTTTTGGTAATATAAGGTCAATAAATTAAACAAACTTCCTTATTCCACTAATTTATATGTATACAAAAATGTATATAGGAAAACATATTCTAAATGGATGAATTCTATATATTGTATGATTGTTCATTAGTTATTATCAATTAATAGGTGGACAGGGAAAATAATTAAAAGCAGCTTCAGTATTAAAAATAAGACTAAATTCGTGTCATGTCACCTGGAGTACTTATGGACACTCAAAGGCTAAAAATTGTAACCAAAACCTCATATTTGAACTTTTAGAGGCTCTGAAAGGTACATTTATGTTCCCAATTAGTAAATGGACAAACTGCAAGGGAACAACAGCAGAACCTTTAAGGGAACAACCCCAGAGAGTGTTTGTGGCTCCATTAGAGCTAGTTAGGAGACTCTTAAGAGGGCATAAAAGAGGGCGTCTCTTTAACTCCGGGGCTTAACCCTATAATGCCAAATGTGTCATATTTGATACGGTTGGATCTGAGACTTTTTGCATCATTCAGTGGTAAAAGCTTTGCTCAAACCCCTGTTGAACACATTCAGATATACCTGATAACAGCCAGTAGAAGAATACACCAAAATATATTTCTGACTTATTGCGCGCTAATTTGATCAAAACTATTTCTGTTTTCTTTTCTTCATATGTTGTTGAGGGGCCAAAGAAAGACTTCAGACTAAAAAAAATCCAATATTCTTCCTATTTTTCTTGGATCGGGCTGTAAAGGGTTAAAGTTGGTACCTGGCAGACGGCGAGCTGGAGGTAGAGACCAGGTTGAAGATCTGGATCATGGCCATCTTACAGAGATCAGCAGCAGAGCCTGCAAGTACAGAGAAATCTCAAAATCCAGCAGGGCGTTCAAACGCTGCAGGTCAGGGAATAATTTACAGAAAAAACTGGACAAAAAACACAGAAAACCCCCCACAAAAAACTCAAAATACTGAAGGAAAACGAGGGTCTGTGCTCAGAAACAAACTGTTTTTGTACGATCGAAACATCCAGATGACTAAGAAAAAACAGACTCTGCACCATAAGCTAACCGGGACTTAGCTAACTGTTTTTTAAACGAATCCTTCCCTTTGTGTTCTGGGTTTGGTCGGGGGTCGTACCCTGAACCACGAAGTTGACGGCCTGCCTCTCCGCCTGCATGCGGAGGCCCCAGTCCGGGGAGTCGATGTTGGGGAGGGTCCTCCGCCGGCCCATAATCGACAACACGTACCCTAAACCAGCAAAAACACAGAAAAAATGCACTAAATGGGGTTTATATCTACCTGAAATGAACACAAACCATTTTGTGGAATGAATTTAACCCTGTAATGTCAAATGTATCATATCTGATTCATACGGTTTCTGAAATGTTTTGCGTCTGACACCTTTTGTTTAATTTAATGGTAAAAACTTTGTTCAAAATCAGATACACCTGATAACAGGGGGCAGAAGACTGCACAAAAAATAATCTTGACCTATCACATAGTAATAAATTATTAATATAAAAAATGTATTTCAGTTTTTTATTTTTACATATTTTGTTAGAAGGCCAAATAAAGACTTCAAACCCAAAAAAAGTAATTTTCTGTTTTGTTTTATTCTTGGATAAGGCTTTAAAGGGTTAAAGGTTTCTGTTTCAGTTTTTATCCTGTGTCAGAAACTGGTATCCTAATAAGAACATATAAACCGGAAAAAGAGTAGCAAAGAAAGACACACCGAAAGAAACAAAGCAAGCAAAAAAAATGGTTAAAAAAGCCCAAACTGGGATCACAAACCAAAGTGAACAAGAGCCCAAACTCATGACTAATATGCCGAATGAAGCTGAGATGGAAATGTGGAGAATTTTAAATATTTAAGAAATTATTTCCAATTCCTTCCAACAACAAAAAGCAATTTATTAATTAACGAGGCTCTTCTCTGCTCACTGACCCTTCTTAAATATGCTTCAAATATTTTAAAGGCAGGAATAAACACAAACTCAGGTCCTCTGGTCTCTTTTTCTCTCTTTGTTTACCTGATAAAATCTCCTGTTTTGCTTCAATCTAAAAGACAGTGGCCGAAATGTAGCATTTATGGAGCCGTTCTCTGAACATTTCTCCATGTTGGTTTGAGAAGTTTAAATAGAATAACAGCTCACATTTCCTCTGGTGATCAAGGGAAACATTATTTAGACTCGCTCTCTTTCTTTCTCCCTTCGTTCCCTATCTTTGTCCTAGACATCTCCTCGTTAATTCATCTTGATTTTAAAGCTTTTTAATGCTTTTCTGGAATCTTGATGATTTTAAATGAACAGAACAAAGTTTTTTGACAGAAGACAAATAGAGTAAACCTGTTTTTGACGGTTAATTGACTCCCCCCTTATTAAAACTTGGGAGATATCCAGAAAATGTAGGGAGATGAATGTGAACCATGTTCATGTTTTTTGGCTTTTCCCTGGTTTGGTTACATTTTGGGATGATGTGCATTGTACAATAATAATAATACTTGGCTACCAGATACCACAAAACATTTGCAGTGTTGTATCTTGGAAATGTCTCAGGAAATAATTTGTGTAAATCTGACAGGTGCCTGTTTAAAATCCTGCTCACTGCCAGTAAAAAATGGTACAAAGAAGACCCAACTGACAAAAAGAGGACTGGCTGGAAATTGTTAAGGACATATATGTCATGGAGGACTTGACCCACAGAATAAATAATAAAAATAATAATACATTTTATTTTTAAAAAGCGCCTTTCATGCCACTCAAGGACACTTTACAAAGACGATCGTCATTAAAACAACATTGAAACATAAGAAAACAAGCAAAATCATAAATAAAAACATTATAAATGAATGAAAAAGGAATGAATAAAACAATAAAAATGAGTTAGGGGTGGTGAGGTGGGTAAAATTTTTTAAACAGGTGGGACTAAAGATGGACTCCTGAGTGGGAAAATGGACAGTGGATTATTTACTTATTGGAATGACTAATTGAACATATTGTTTACCAGCTTGAGTCAGATCCAAATCCAAAGAATATAGTTTTGTTTACATTGTGTGTGTTTGTTTGTTTTAGTTTTTTCCTCTCCTTTTTTCTTTTTCACACCTTGTAATTGTCAACAACGAAAAATAAAGTAAAAAAAATCAATAAAAAAGACTTGAGAGATATCCTCTTTGGGTCCAAATCGAGCCTTTAAAGCTGGAGGGGGACGATTTAATGAGAAGCCATTAGTCAGTGGAGACCCTTAAAGGTCGTTACTGGCAACGTGCACGCTCTCCGGTGTGTGAGGGACTCACACACGCGTTCCCAGCGGACTCACAAAAAACGCACAAAGGACCGGGAACACAAGAATGCGCACTTCATGACACACACATGCCAGTACATTCCACCGAGGGCACAATGGAGGCGGCTTTATGGGTAAAGCCCACCAGCATCCCTCAGTATGAGATAAGCACCAAACCTGGATGACCCTCACACACACACACACACACAAAGACACACACACACACAAAGACACACACACACACACACACACACACACACACAGACACAAGCATGGACACACACTTACAGAGATACACACACATATACACACACACACTCACACAGAGACACATACACACATAAACACTCACAGACACACACAAAGACACACACATACACACAGACACACACAAACACAGATATACACACACACACAAAGACACACACAAGCATGGACACACACACACACAGACACAAACACACACAAGCATGGACACAGACACACACACAGATATACACACACACACACATAGACACACACACAACCACACACACACACACTCAGAGACACACATACATAGACACACACACGCACACACACATTCACAGACACACAAAAAAAAATCACAGACACACACTCACACACACAGACACACACAGGAAAGGAGCTCAGAGGTGGGAGAAACAAACAGGAGCCGTCCAGTCTTTGTGAGGTGACCTTTGACCTTTCCCTCCCTGTTATGATAGCAGCGTTCCATCCCTGTGATGCTTATTGTGTCGGTGGGAACACAAACAGGTTCGGCCTCACGGGTTTCTCTCCCGGAGCCCCTCAAAACCGGTTTACCGAGACCCGGTCGCGTTCGTCCAAATTTGTCTGAACTCTGTCGCTGTGTTGGATTGAAATCAAACCGGTGACGTTAAATTGTTCACTGACGCTGATTTGGGGTCTGAAATAAAGACGTCAAACTGCGTATTGGCCGGCAGGAGAAAATTCAGATCCAGACTCCTGATCCAGTTTTTCTTATTTTAAAGTTCGATCCCACATTAGCATTAGCATCTGCTAACCCACAGGTCTGTCCTAACCATTAAGTTGTTATCAGAGTAAATCTCTGTTCAACATGAGTCTGACAACTAAGTAAGTAGATAAATAACTTTAACACATGCTCTGATAGGCCGAGATTGGGATATCGGATCAGAAGTTAAAAAAGCTGGACCTGGACATCCCAAATCCAGACCCCCATCCCTTTTTTTTTTTTTAAGTCTGATTAAAATGATCCATTCCACTTTGCTGTGTTGTTCCCTAAAATCTGGTCATTTTCCAGCACAGCCTTAAGCATTAGCATTAGCATCTGCTAACCCACAGGTCTGTGTCCTAACCATTAAGTTGTTATCAGAGTAAATCCCTGTTCAACATGAGTCTGACAACTAAGTAAGTAGATAAATAACTTTAAACTTTAACACATGCTCTGATAGCCTGGGATATTGGATTGGAAGTTAAAAAAGCTGGACCAGGACGTCCCAAATCCAGAGTCCCAATCCTTTTTCTTTTTTTAAAGTCTGATTAAACTAATCCATTCCACTTTGCTGTGTTGTTCCCTAAAATCTGGTCATTTTCCAGCACAGCCTTTAGCATTAGCATTAGCATCTGTAACCCACAGGTCTGTGTCCTAACCATTAAGTTGTTATCAGAGTAAATTCCTGTTCAACATGAGTCTGACAACTAAGAAAGTAGATAAATAACTTTAAAACATGCTCTGATAGGCCGGGATCGGATTGGAAATTAAAATAGCTGGATCTGGACGTCCCAAATCCAGACTCCCAATCCTTTTTTTTTTTTTTAAAGTCTGGTTAAAATAATCCATTCCACTTTGCTGCGTTGTTCCTTAAAATCTGGTCATTTGCCAGCACAGCCTTAAGCATTAGCATTAGTATTAGCATTAGCATCTGCTAACCCACAGGTCTGTGTCCTAACCATTAAGTTGTTATCAGAGTAAATCCCTGTTCAACATGAGTCTGACAACTAAGTAAATAGATAAATAACTTTAAACTTTAACACATGCTCTGATAGGCCGGGATATTGGATTGGAAATTAAAAAAGCTGGATCTGGACGTCCCTAGCATAAATAAAGCTGAGGTGATCCGGTTTGGCTGCAGTCTCAGGTGTGCTGAGTCAGCAGGTCGGCCGGATGTAAATGTGGGTCCCTACTGAGCCATCACTCCTTCACATCCAACCCCCACAGCCATCGACCCGCGCTGCTTTGTCTCCTTTCTGCCAACGAAGCACATCTTCTTCTTCTTCTTCTTCTCCTTCTTCTTCTTCTTCTTCTTCTTCTTCTTCAGCCTCAGAGGCGAGGGACAAGAGTCAAACCAGAAACTGTACAGCAGAACCTCTAACGAGGGCCAAACATACGAATTTTCCAACATTCTGAGTGAAATTCGATAAAATATTTGACTTGAAATCCGAACTAAATTCCCAACATACGTCGAAGTCATAGAAAACAAATTAAATATCAAAATTAAATAAAAATAAATAGGCTAAGTTAGTTTAAAGTTCAGGTAGTGAAAGTTAGAGAAAATTGGGGTTCGTCCTGTTTCCCAGTCTCCACCTCTATCTCCGTTCGCCAACAACTGCCAATAAAATCCCCTTTTTATTGATTATTTCTTCATCATTTAGTTCTTTTCTGTACAGTAGAACCTCTAACGAGGCCTAAACTTACGAATTTTCCAACATCCGAAGTGAAATTCGATAAAATATTTCACTTGAAACCCGAAGTAAATTTCCAACATACCACCTTTCTGTCTCATTTTAAAACTCTTCTAAAAACCCACCTCTTTTCTTTGGCTTTTGACACCATGTAGAGCGTTGATTTTATGTATATACATGCATATTTTTTATCCTGTGGGGCAGTGCTTTTATTTATTTATATTTATTTTACCTTTTTGTGCAGCACTTTGGAAACCTTGTGTTTGTTGAAATCGTGCTATATAAATAAAGTGGATTGGATTGGATTGAACATACGTCGAAGCCAAAGAAAACAAATTAAATATAAAAATTAAATAAAAATAAATAAGATAAGTTGGTTTAAAGTTCAGGTAGTGAAAGTCAGAGTAAGTTAGGGTTCGTCATGTTTCTCAGTCTCCACCTCTACCTCCGTTCGCCAATAACTGCCAATAAAATCCCCTTTTTTATTGATTATTTCTTTATAATTTAGTTCTTTTTACATCTCTCTTATATAAGGCATTTGTTTTATTGTTATGTATAATTATCTCCAGTATTTATTAAGGAGTTATCGTAGGTTTTTGGAACCAATTTTAGGAGTTACAGTGTATTCTGATGGGAATATTTGAACCAACATACGAATATTTTAACATGGGAAGTATGTCCTGGAGCGAATTCAGTTGTGTTCAATGTAATAATCTGCAGTATTTATTAAGGAGTTATCGTAGGTTTTTGGGCTCTGGAACCAATTCTAGGAGTTACAGTGTATTCTGATGGGAATATTTGACCCAACATACAAATATTTTAACATACGAAGTCGGTCCCGGAACAAATTTAACCCTTTAAAGCCCAATCCAAGAAAAATAGGAAGAATATTGGATTTTTTTAGTCTGAAGTCTTTCTTTGGCCCCTCAACAACATATGAAGAAAAAAAACAGAAATTATTTTGATCAAATTAGCGTGCAATAAGTAAAAAATATACTTTAGTCTTCTACTGGCTGTTATCAGGTATATCTGAATGTGTACAACAG